TGCCCAGGGTGCACCACGCGGAGGTAAGTCTATCGCACACTCCCCCCCCCTTCTTGCAAGTAGCAAACTGTTAAGTAGGCGTACATGCTTACCTCTACGAAATTGGTGAACCATTTGTATTAGTAATTGAAATTCTATTGTTTTTGCTGTTTTTTGTATTTATAATTACTATTGGTGAAGCCTATTTTTACCACCTTGGTGGCCATTTGGAAAATTTGCGATTTTGGTTGTTAATGCAAAAAAATGGAAGTGTGTTAGCATATTGCACATAGTGTCATTCATTCTGGGTTCAGATAAAAATAAACTGAATCAGCAACATTTTAAAGTTTGCGTTACCACTGCAATTCATGCGGGGATATTTGATATTTTGTTCTAAGTCTACGCTTCCCCAAGTCTCGCTCTTGATTGAATATGCATTCTTCACAGAGAAAAGTATTTTCCCTATTTAGATTAGAAGTTTTAATTGACTATTATTACATATTCAGGCGTTATTAATGATGATGATAAAGTAAATAATTGACGGATGAAGTCTGTTCAATCCACTTAGTGTCACAGGAATTATTCATTTCCGTATTTAAATCACGCCAAAAATGGAATTTTTTGCATATTCTTTCTCTTTTAGGATGAAGCTCATCATCCATTGAAAGAGCTGAACAAATTTGGTCTCACTCAAAATGTAACGACGCTTCTTGCTTGGAGGTAATTCCTGCTTTTCAATGTGAAGCGGGGTTTAATGGTTTGTTGGTTGTATTAAAATGATATTGAATGAAGTTTAAGCCACCTTCAACAGAGACAGATCAATTAAAAAAAGTGTCGAAATTACTGGCTATTTGTTTGCTACAAGGTCCCCATATCTATTTCGATGCCCATCGTGTTTGGTTATATTTGCGGGATATCTAATCGCCTTGTTCTAATGTGAATAATTTTTTTTTATTTTTCACAGAGAAAATAGGATTACTTAGGTTTTCCCACTATTGGCTTGAAACGTTTTAACTGTAAGCGACTAAATTCCTACATGTAAGATTGCCATTGGTACCTTTTCTCATGTCGTTGTTTACCAATGTGGTTGCCAATGGTTTCCCTCGTCATGTTGCTTGGAAAGAGATTAGCTTTTGGCTTTATTCGTGGGAAAATTTAAGCCCCTTTCCTTTTTATCATTACGCCATTTATTAAAGCTATTCATTTCTGATTAATTATTTAAGTAATATCGCAGAATTCATATTGGTTTTGTTTAGTGCTAATCTATCAATGATAGCTTAACTGCTGAAATCGTTATTTGTTTCACAGTAACCTTTCTAATTATATGAATGGTGTTATTTTAGTTGAAATTGGCTATTCTCAGAGTCCGTTTATCGATCCTGCATTCAGCATTTCTTCGCGTTAAATGTAGTAGAACCTATTTCCAAGTTTATGCGTAAACTAATCTTTCTATAGTTCACTTTATTTATTATTATTATTTCTAAATGCGGTACTTATCTAGAGAAAGAGGAGAAAATTAAATTTAGAAAATTGTTTCCCTAGGTTAACCATTTAACGCCCGAATACTTTTTTGAAAATGCACCCAACTGCACTCAAGAGTATCTCACAGCAGACAGATGCCACCGACTTAATGAGTTTTGGCGGTATCAGACAAAGGCTATAGACTTATTGAACATGTTTCAAATCGCAATAGTGCCTTCTGTTACGAGTCTGTTACCTATGGAGCTTACTTTAAAAGAGGACCACACGTTCCTAAGGGCGTTAAAGAGTTACGAATTTAATTACCTGACCCGAGTAAATGGATACAGTGTCACCCAAGTTATTGTCTAGCTCATCCATTCTATGTCGTCACTTGATTTTCATATACAGGCATTTATGCGCCTATCTACAAAATTTTGTCGTTTTATAGTGTATCCGTTTTCTTAAACTAACTTATTTTTTAATTATTTATTTTTTTCAAATGGCAGTCTTTAGGGTATTTATCATTGGCTCCTTAGTTGACTTCGGCTTTCGCAAGGGGAGGGGGGGGGGCATATATTTAGGATTTAAGACAGTTAACAGTAGTTCATTAGTTGTCTTCTGGCTTCTCAGTATCTCTGAGATTCCGTCGTTGACTTTAGGGCTTGATATCGAATCAGGTGGGTCTTCTCCATTTCCTCATGTAGGTTACATAGAGGGTATGTTGGCTGACCGTCTAATGGGTTTTCAAGACCATTGTGTTTTGGAATGAACATGCACCTTTTAAAATAAAGGGCTTGAGTTAACACATTTCTTTTTCAAATGTGTCTCACTGTTCAAAATAAGTAGCATTAATGATAAAAAGAATAGTGGAATAAATCCTGTTCAAATCCTTTTTTTAGAAATAGCAAAGTTTATCTTTCAGTTAGCCCTCTGAAGATTAATAGGCACCAATTTTGAAAATGAAGGATGCTTTTCCAAAAAAATGTCATTTCGATTTCTTTATTCATGAATTTTCCGAATGGAAATACTATTTTGGGAAGGTAGGTACCAGTCACCACCTAGGTGACTGCCATACAACTTCTGATCCCAATCTGCACTTGCCTAATCATCATTAAAACAAATGAGTCAGCTGTAGGTCAGAAAAATGCAGCCCCAAATGTTAAGTAAAATATCTTGGGTCGAGTTTTGTGCAATTGCGCATCAGTGAAAAGATTGATGCCTAGTTACTGGAATGTTCACTTCTGTGTAAAGCTTGCATTTCTTTCTTTTGCAGTTCATTGGAGGCAGCTCGTTACGTTGAGTGCTTCAAGGCGCTGGTCAATAAACCGCCTGAGGAGCTCCAGTCGGAAGCCGCAACTGCGTCAATTCAGAAAGACCATTTGACCCTTGCGACAGATTTATTGACCTCACTTCGGGTCGTCTCACGGACCGATGCTATCACGTTACTTTCACGATTTGGGGTGCGTTCACCAGCCTTATACTCCATGCATAAGTGCATTGCATTTCTTTTATCAATATTTATGCCCCGCTATCGACTCTTAAATCTTGTGTAAAAACTTACTTTGGTAGTGGAGAAAAACTAGTTCCTTGGTGTAGCCCTACACGATCTTTCGATATTCACACCAACTCCTCCATTTGTCTATTCATTCCCTGAGAATCTGCCCAAGTTAAATTTAAAAGTGCTACCTTCCTATTGTCTCCATTTCGATCCCAACTATTTGCGATTCGCCTATCAGTTCTACGTAATTTGACGTAAATATTTAAAATGTAGTTTTTTCGATCTATGTATAGAAGTTTGGGTTATATCGCAGCTAAGGTATGTATCAGACATAGTCTCGCAGACATTGGTACAGCGTCTAAACCCCATGGTGGTAATGAATCGGCAATTTCGACAATGTCATGGAAAATAATCCACCTGATGACTCTATGGCACCGGTAGTATCATGAGAAGACTTGTCGAAACTGAGTGAGAGTGCATGATGAGTGCTTACATTTATGCTTTCCTTAATTTTGAGCCATTAAATCAGGTCATTTTGCATTTAAGACCGCCCCACCACTTAACCCCCCCCCATATTGTATCATCAATGTGAGTTGCTTTACTCTTTCTCTAAATGCGAGAGTTTTGATATGTAACAGGAAAGGTTGATCATATCACCCTAACCACTCGTATTTCCACTTTTTCATCACTTTCGTCTGTTCCTTTTCCACCACCTGTAATCTAAAAAGGCTGTTAATCTTTTTATCACTTTCAGATCGGTTTGTAAAAAGCTACATTTCCAGACTTGTCAGGCCAAAATCTTTGAATGACGCGCTTTCTGTGGTTTTTCGCTGCATTGTATTGTCATTTATTAGGTCTTGAAGAGCAGAAAGAGAATGCTTATCGATTCAGTGTAATGGTCTACGTAGCAGTGGGTTGCATGTACGTTAGCCTTTCAGAAATATTTATCTTCAGAACGAATCAGTTGCACACATCATGTTAAGGTGGATGTTAGCCAATGGGAGTACTTTTGCATAAATTCCCTGCATCATCGCATCAAAGATAACCTTGCAATATGCCCAAGTCACTTTGAAACATTGTCCAGTAAATGATATATGACCAATTTCGACAGTCCCAATGACTAACATAGTTCTAGTGACCTATCCAGACCCTTAGAAGTGAGAATTAAGAATCCTCTGTTAGAAATGAATTTTGAATTTCTTAGAATGATGTTATTGCAGAGGCAAATCCGAAATTGGGTCTGCGGTGAATGCCAGTTCAGTCATGTCCAATATTGGCATTATCTGGTTAGTCGAACAACCCATCCCCCCCCC